TCATCTTTCCACCTTAAAAAACCACATGACCCAGTTCTATAGTTTGTACAACTATAAAACCTTCTTAACCAAGTAGGTTTGAAATCTGAAAAAACTGAAAAATGTTTTCTGTTCTGATTCTCTGAAAATTGTTCTTCAAAATTGTTTTTATAAATGTAATCCAAGCAAGGCCATACTTCATCCTTCTTTCTTTCTCATGCTGCCATATGTTCATAACTGATGTCTTCTTCTTTCATTATTTATCACATTTTATAGAGTTAATTCAAATTGATAACCCATTTGTAATTAAAAACAACATTAGTGAGTAATTCTAAATGCATATCTCTTAGTCAAGCCATATATCATAATACCACATGTACCAACAGATTCATATGTTGTATCACTTCTCCACTCAACTCTTGTGACTTAGCAATTTGTTTTTGTCTTTAAATAGGAGTCTATGAATGATAAACCTCAACTAATATACCACTTTGAATAATAAAATAATTTTCCTCGCCAAATCGGCCCATGCATATGGCCGAATTAGAAATATTATTTTAGGGTGTAGACACGTGCATTGAGTTCCGATGTCGCAAGAAAAATAAAGTATATAACATAAACTTACACTTAGCTTTAACTCTAATGTCGGCAAAAAACCTAGCTTAGAGTTTTGATGTGATGTTATAGAAACCCTGACTCATTATCGGTTTGATGTTGTGGAAACCGTAGAATTGGTTGATTCGATATCTTTAATTCGTTGTTGCAAAAGCCCTAATCCCTAATCTTATAAATTAGGGTTTGTAAAAACCATAATAACCTCTCTCAATGTTGCAAAGACGTTTAGTCATCTAATAGATGAAATTGAGATAATGAATCGTTTCACCATTTTCTCAATTTTTCCTCCAAAATAAAAGTTATGTAACTAATAAAAAAGGATATGTGAAGTCCCATCCAATAAGACATGGGTGGTTTAAGTAAATTACACAGTTCTGTTAGTTCATTTGACTGTTCGTCAATAATAGGGGAAGTCGGTGTAACAAGGTTTCTGTTTTGGGAAGGTTGGTGTAATTTTTTAAAATAAATAAGAGAAGTCTGCGTAATTTAGGCAAATCATAGGAAAGGATTGTGTAAAATTTACCTGAAATTAATTATATATATATTTTTTTGGAAGGGCGAAAAAGGTGATTGAAAAATAGAGGTATAAATTATCTAAATTTGAGCACTCTTTTTTTTTTTTTCAAAATTTGAGCTTCTTATTTTATTTTATTTTATTTTTATATTTAATGTGGACTAGTTTATTAAAAGGTTGAGACCGAGATATGAAAATCTTATGAGAAATTACTGTGGATTTATTACATTTGCTTGAGTTGCAAATTTTGCCCCTAATTGCCAACCCTCCTTTAATATTCTTCTAATTGCCAATCCTCCTCTTAAAATCTTCTACATTGATAGGCTAGAATCATGTAAGCTAATGAATATGCGGCTTATATATAAAGAGTAATGATAGGGGAACCGAAAAGGAATCACCGAATTAGTATCGAATTTGACGTGGTTAGTCATTCTTATCACGTGTTAAACAATTATTTTTAAAAACTGTTTAAGTAGATGAGGTAGACAAAAATACGTCAGATTCGATACTTACTCGGGTTTAATTCATCAGTCTCTCTATCATTCTTCATAAATAAATTTTTCATATTTTTGACCAGTTTTAAATTTTCGGTGATCCTTAACCCCGAAATATATATATATATATATATTCTGATCAATAAAGTAATAAAAATAAATTTTAATAAATAAATAAAAACAAAACGCTTATTTGTCATTATTTAACCTTTCAAGAAAAATATGAATCAAGTTCAAGCTCATTAATTTTCTAAGCTTATTAGGAATCAAATCTAAAGTTAAATAACGTTCACAAACAAATAAGTCGTGCCCAAACAATTTTAAACTCGACTTAGTTAATTTGAAATTTTATTCTTAGATTTGACCTAGTCCAAAACAATTGTCGGGAAGTTATTCTTGAATCAAGAAATAAAAAATAAAACAATTGTGCCGTTCATTTTTAAAAAATAAAACTGCAAGAGTTAAAAAAAGTAAGTGGGAAAATCAATTTATTTAAGATAATAAAAATGAATAAGGACAAAACCGAGATTATGAGGAAGAACATGGGCATTCAGTTTAAAGATACTTACAACAGTCACAACGGTTTTTTATTCTCCTTCTCTATTGAGGGTTGGCCCCACAATCCCGCTCTACCTGCTCCCCGCGCTTTCGTGTCGATTTCCGATATATATATATATATATATATATATATAATTATTTTTGTTATGGCCGCTGCCAAACAACACTCTGACTGAAGCTGACGCGCGTGCGCATTACGTGACAGGAGATGATGATTCATGATATGCGTTGGTGCATGGGTGTATTTTACTTTGGTGCAGTGTCATTATGTCAATATTACTATTTTACCCACCTCCATGTCTTCAAGATCGGTCGCATGGCTGTAATTTTTGTTTTTTTTTTTGGTAAAATGGGTGTAAACATGTTAATAAGATGATTGTTAATCATTTTTTGGTTTGAATGTAACATATTTTTTTGATGTTTAATTATTATAAAATATTTAGGAAAAAAAATATTAAAACTTAACAAAAATAGTTTATCAATCAATTTTTAAAAAGTTATTTTACATGTCATATTTGATGGACACGATCTCAACTCGGCCTACACCTTTGTCAAACATCGAAAAAATAAATAAATAAATATATATATATATATATATATATATATATATATTTTACTCTAAAAATAAAAATCTTTTCCAAAGAAAATATTTTACATTAGGAGCCAAATGTTTTGTATTTGTATCCACTTAACCCTCCTAACATTTTGTATTGACAAAACACATATTGGATAATTTTAAAAAAAAAAATAATGTATATAATGTTTCTTTTTGTTTTTTATTTAGAAAACGATAATCAAACCTATTAGTTAAATTTATTTCTCAAACTATAATAATTATGGCCCGATTAATTTGTCAAAATGAAATAATTATGACAATTAATAATCTAAAGTGGGTTCCCGTTTTAGGCTCCACTTCAGATCTTAATTATTCACTTTGACAAATAGGCCTGACTAGTCTGTGTGACTCTTTTCTTTTTCTATTTTTCTTTTTAATCCTATATATCAAATGTTATCATATCATCTATAGTAGAAGTAGGACTGCAACTCGTGCAGCCCCATCCAGATAAACCTGAGCTCACTGCTCAGCCAAAAAGAATTCGGACATGGACAGTGTAAATTGCAGTTCAATTTGGCTCTAGGTTGAAAATTAGGAACCCAATTTCATTTCAGGTCGGGATTGGGTTAATGTGTCGAGTAACACAAAACCCAACAGAAGGCAGTTCCGAATTACAAAACCTAACGAATTCGAAATATAAACCCGAACATTGAACCCTATATATATGTAATAAATTATTTTGTGTGTGCGCACGAATGTGTGTAATGACATATTGAACTTTTTTGTTTTTTTTATCTATTTGTTATTTATATTATGCCTATATCTTCAATTATTTAATTTGTGAAAAAGTTAAGGCCATTTCATTTGTTATCACATCAGCCGAAGTTGGACGTTTGAATTCAACCTAAAATTTTGTTATTACATCAACCTATGTTGGACGTTTGAATTCAACCTAAAATTTTAAATCAAGTTTTAAAAATTAAGGTATAACCATTGAAAAATGAGGAAGTAATACTATATTAGGGTGGACTATTTAAAAAAGACTTCAACAGAGCCGAATACAAGAATTAGGAAACAGGTTCACATGAAAAACAGTACTACTCGTAGGACAAATAACAGACATGCAATTAATGCCTGAAGGTCATCTGATTCAACGTTCATGTTATTGTTGTTCCATATTGAACAAATAAAGCCCACAAAGAAGGCTACTAAAACAATGTCGCTTCCTGTTGGAGAGAGACTGAGTTATACCAGCTCGTGCAGGTACCGGTGAGTTGCTGAGTCAACACGGTGGACACTATGTACTCGGTGTTTTAATGTCGGACGCGCGTTCTCCAATGGAGATGGTGGCGATGGTGAAGTCCACTGAAGTGGGTACGCGCGGCGTGAGGTTTCGGAGGCAAGCGAGTGCTTAAATGAGTTGATGAGTGCAGGTTTTTTAGTCATCTGAGTTGCCGAGTCAACTCAGTCACTCGTTATTTGGCACCAAATTGTAGTTGTACTTGTTTATTGTTTTTTACATTAATGAGGGAGGCCTTTAAGTTTTCATAGAAGATGCCCAACAATATTAATTCACTAGTGGGGCATGAAGTGGGTAAAGATTTGACAGGATTTGATTGAAGCAAAATTCAATCCTAAAGTTTCAGGTTCCATTGCAAAATTCATACAAAACTGGGTTGCAAAAAAATAAAAATAAAAAGATTGTAACGAATCCGTGTTTCTTAGATTTTATTGAAACCAGATTCATTTTATTAATGTTAGGACCTGTTTGGACGGTATTTATTTTATATAGATTCAGACATTAAAGCATAAAGTGAATCCGCTCGAGAATTACTCCTAGTCATTGACTCACTTTTTGCATGTTGTAAGACCTAGCACAATTACTACTTAACCAAATTGCTTAACTTTATGAAACTAATCCATTATCAATTACTTATCAAATTGGTGATATTTTTCTAAGGTAAGTAAGAAGGAAGAGGTGTGAAAGAAAGATAAGAAGAAATGACGGACTTCATTAGTTCAGTAGAGAGTTTTAAATTATTACGGTAAATTTCTATGACCCTACATTAAAACTCTCTTCCCTAGACCCCTAAGGACTATAGTAAAATATCAGTTTATTCTCTTCTTTTCTATCCAAGAATAAAAACTGAAAGACAATCTCTTCTCTAAAGCTATCACATCCATAACTTCTCTACTTTCCATCCAATTTCTGCCAAACGAAGCATAAATAATGCCAAATCTTCTTTAAGTTGCGCGCGTGCGAGAGAGAGATGAAGCAAACAACTGAACAGTGAACACACTCCGAAGCCAGTAATTAGAATATTAGAGTACCACCAGACACCAACTATTAACACTGCTGCTATCAGAAATACAATAAATACTAGGGCGTTCCGAACAAAATACAAACCCGAACACCTGATTTACGGCAACCAATATCAATGATAATTAGCAAATTTATTTACCTACCAGAGTTAAAAAGGTATCAGTGCTTGCCCTGGGACACCTCTAAGATATCGTCATCGTCTATGTCTATGCAGTGATAACGTAGAGTTTACATGTGAGGAAGTGCTGAAAGGGTGAGGAAGACTGTATAAAACCATGGTAGTAGCTGCTTCTGTATGATGAACAACGGATTTTCCCAATTAGATCTCCGCTTCCCCAATAACCCACCCTTCGACAAAACCACGCCATGTAATGCTTTCTCCCACGAAACAATTTTACCTTCTCTGTGAACAATACAAAATTTCAAGAAGATAATTTGGGTTATCCTTTTCTTTCTCAGCCCCAGACTTGCCGCCAGCGTTCGACCCGAGACCCATAGCCTTTCTGCCAACTCAAACTATCTGGTTCCCAAACATTAAGAATCAACTTCTCAGGGTTGTGCTGTCAAACTGGCCACGATTGTTGACAAACCCTTCTGCTTCTCAAGACAGAAAAAATGGGCACACATGAGAGCACAAACCAAGTTGCTGGATGCTAAGACCATAACCCTTATCGAATATTAACCCTCACGAGCCATCAACCATTGTAGTGAAGTTTCTGATTTTGTGAGCTCTGCCCCTGATGGGGTTGCTGCTGCTGCTGCTGTTGCTGTTGCGGAGCCTGCAAGTTTATTGGCTGTGTGTTGTAGTGAGCGAAAGGTTGGGAGAATAGAGGATTCAACAGTCCCTGTAAAAACACTAGAATAAATAGACCATTCCAACTACAGAGTATTACTAGTCAACAAACCAAATCATGATAGTAAAATTATTTAGGAGAGGAAAAAGAAAATTTTGGCAACGAGAAAAGCAATCCAAAACTCCCAAATTTTGCAGGGCTTAGAGGGCTTGGTGGATACTCCATGCATCTAAGGCATTTCAAAATTTTACCCACAGAATCTCTCTATCAACCAGAAGAAGCAAAAGATGAAACCTGAGATTGGGACTGAAGTGGGTTGGCATTGGCCATGGCGAAGTGGCTCTGTGTAGCATCATCTTGTGATGGATCACTGAATCCAACTTGGGTAAACAGACCTTGTGACCCATGAGCCATGTAGTCCTGTCATGGCAGTTCAATAGAGTGAGACACAAAATAAAACTGCAATGGGAAAAAAAATCATAGCCCCAGGCAAGTGTTAAATTTTGAGTAATCAACTTCCAATATATATGTTTTTTTAGTATATAGGTATATTGCTAATATAGAAGCGGTATTATTTGTAGGTATGCTGTTTAAGTTTAGTTTGTATTTTAAACTCTTCTTCTATCGGGTGCATTTGATTATTTTTCTATTCAATGAGGTTAATTAAGATGGCTTCCTCCAAACCAAAAGAAAAATTACAATAAATTAAAAATAAAATAAACAAACCTGAGACATGAAGTCATTTCCTGTACCAAAACGAGAATATCCAGCTTGAGAATTCTGGTTTAAAAAGCTTCCTGGGAACCCAGATTGTGCACCCTGGGTTACATAATCAACAGCATACCCACTTTGAGAAGCCTGCAAAGCAAAGCAGCAACAATGGAAAACATTGAAAATTGTTGGCGGAATCATCAATTAACAATAATATTATAAAAATTACTTTTTTTCCTTGTACAAAAAACAAATGAAAGAGAAAAATAGACTAGTTCAAACCACCATCCAGATCCTTTTTAACATACACCGCTTGTGCATTAGATGTATGGTTGAATACATGGTGGTACAATTTCCTGTAACTTGTACCTGAGTGGAGAAGTCTGCAACAGTATATGGAACATGTGATCCCTGACTTTTAAAATCATCACCCAAGAAATCCTGGTTGAAGATTGAAAGAAAAATTTCAAGAAATGAAAATCCAAAAAAATCAATTATAAAACCAAGCATATTAATCTTTATTCGAATCAGCTACCTGAGACATGCCGCCAATAGAGAACCCATCACGAAATGTTTGGCTTGGTCCTTGAACAGCCATCTATTTCATAAAACATAAAACAATCAGGATTCAACCATGCTAAAATGGAAGGATGATTAGATTAAAGAATAACAACGATCATAGTAAAAATTAAGAGTACTTACATTAGAAACGAATCCAGGTTGAGATAATGGTCCACCCACAGATGGCTGGCTATTTGGATTCTCCATAGCAGGAAAGTTGAAACCGGGCCCAAGACTTCCAATGGGTTGAGAGCTTTGCTGATGGGGAAGATGACTGCCAATAGGAGCACCAGCATTGCCACGCCCAGCCCCAAAACCCCGGCTTCCTGGTTGAGGAACATGAGGAACAGTTCCGACTGGTCCATGTACAGCTCCACGAGTTGGGATAGCATATGGTTGAGAAGGGGGGCCACCATGATAAGGTGGAACAGGACCCCGAGGCATCGGATAACCAGCAGGATGCATCCCAGGCTTATGCGTACCATTAGTTGGACCAGGTGGTACATAAGAACCTGTGTTCAGAAAAATAAGCATTCTAGCTAAAATGTCACAGTAAAACCCTCATAGTGAGGATGCCTAAAAAAGGATGAAAGCAAGCACAAAAATCTTATCCTGTTCTCGTATTGTTATTATTATTTGGTGTGATCCTAGGACTTGTACAAGTAAACTATATGCATCTGAGGATTGAAATTGACAGTAAACAATTTAGGGATTAAATATTCCAGCATTTAACATACCCCTAGGTCGGTTGCCCCTCCTATCAGAATTTGGGCTTGAAGAAGAAACAGAGCCAAAAGTATCGTTAGGCACTATTCCAGGTCCACCACCAAAGAAAAGTCTGCGATCATTGTAGATCTGTTCCATATGAACCAAAAAATAACTTAAACAAAACAATTAAAAATGTCTTTTAAAAATAGACACTAACTCTATGATTCCATCTTTAAATATCATACCTTTCTAGGCTTCTGAAATTGAACCATACTCTGCTTTAAATTATTCAAAGGACCTTCTACCAAGCACTCGTGCTCCTAAAGTTAAAATCAGAAATAAGGCCAAATTAGAAGGTAGAACAAGTGACTTTGTAATTCTTAGACCAATAAATCAACTCAAAATCGGGGAAATCATTTTTATGGCCTCCAAAACAAGGAATAGGTCAATTGTCCGGATGAATTATGGACATTATGTTCCCCCAACATCAGGACCCAAAACAACATTTGTGAAAGTTTCATTAACTGCACAAGTACCAGTTGGCCAGAATAATAATCAAAATGTGTTAGAGCTCAGACCAGGGATATTCACATTAACCCTAACTAAAATGGCCCATCAGAAACAACATTAAAAGCAAATAATGTGGATTACCTTGTAGTGTGTCAACAATCCATTCCAAAGCGGCTGTTTGCTTAGAACTTTAGGGTTCCCCAAGATGACAATACCATAGCGGGCACGTGTTAGTGCAACATTAAGCCTTCGGGGATCATTAAGGAATCCTATGCCCTGGATGAACATTAGACAGCTATCAAGGATCAGCTAGTGATCACAAATGACGAGTGTTAAAAGCAAACATAAGCTTAGGTTCACAGATCAGATAACAATACATCAAAAACTAACAAACAGTATGACTAATCTCGAAGCAGGTGCATATGGAACAAAGAGTGATTAAGCCAAATACGAAAACAATCACTGAGAATAACTTGGCATTTAATCATTTAAACTTGTAGCGCAGATTATGGTATCACATACTCCAAAGTTATCATTCAATTTCTGAACTCTCAGAAGAAAAATGCCACATGCATTGAGAGTACAACAAACACGCTAGGCAGAGCATAAAGAAAAACAAAACTTAGGGTTCCAAAAAACAAAACCAGAGGGGAGGTCAGGGTAGTACACCAAAACATAAAACATTCAAATTCCAGGACATTTCAAGCCGTGTCCAACATATCCAGCTGTGACCCACGAGTGTCCAATACCACGGAATCTCTCTCTCTATTTGTGATTGTGTTTGAGCCAAGAACCGCCATTTCAATCTATGAATTCTTTTAATATTACAATCAGACCTTTGTTTTTTATATAAATATTTACAAAACTGCCCAGACGTATCACAAAGTATCCGTAACGTATCTGAGCTGTATCCAAATTGGAAAAAAATAATTTATTGTTCAGATACTTCCCAACCATATCAAATATGCATCCGGCGGCATGTATCTACCGATATCAGATACACATCCGATACGGCCATAGCACTCTCGGGAAGTATCCATGCTCTAGTGACATGGTAGCAAAGGTAGGTTAATTTCTTGATGGCTTAATACCCCTCTACTCAGTACCTTAAATCATTTTTCAGAAACAAGAAAACAGAATTGGCAGTCCAACCAACCAGCGCAAATTTGATATAATGCTTGCAGGCATGTAATAAATTGATTTTTTTTTATTTAATAAATCTAATATGTCAACATGACGTCAACCGAACAGAAAAATTATATCTCCCCCCCCCCAAAAAAAAAAAAAAATCACTCTTATCTAATTTGTTTCTGGATTCCAGATATGATGCGACATGCCATTCCAAGCTTTCTTCCGAGATGAGCATCAAATGTGGGCATCTCAACTGAAGTGGGCAACGAACCACAACTCTTATTGAATCAAAAAATGGCTGGGGGATTAAGCCATACTACCAGGAGGGAGAGAGAATAATTACAACAAGAGCCGCTTCAAGGAAAACAAAAAATGTTCCTCCCTCCCAGTAGTATGGCTTCCATCAAAACCAGTCACTTCACACAACCCAGGATAGCTATTGATATGCCTCCACCACTCATCAGAAGAAGCGAAAAGGTAAACTACTGAGAATGTAAGCCATGCTGGGTTGTGAGTAGGGAATGGAGCTACCTTGCCTTTTCTTAGCTTACGAAAGATTGAAACAAAAATTGGAGAGCATTGGAAATCGCTTTATCACACACTATTGCACAAAAATCGTTGACCCATTGGATACAAAACCAATACTGAAAAAAACTACACCATATTATTTAACCAGTATGCATGACTTATAAACCTTTCCTCTTCTAAATCATTACAAGAAAAGAGGCCCATGACCAAAGTTGCAACTATAACTAGTATGTTCCTCTCCTCACCTCATAGTCTATGCTTAGGAAAAGATTAAAAAAAAAATCAACATTCCCAAGAAGAAAGTAGTAAAAAAAAAAAAAATGTAGAAACATATATCAACAAGCAGCCGCTTACCTTTAATGGGGAAAAAAACATAAAATAAGATATGTAAAGTCGATACCCAGCACAAATTGAAACTCCTACAAATAAACTCTAACCAAGGGGAAAATTTTGTGGAGAAGATCGAAAACCAACCTGATGTTCGTTACTCCTCACACAAGACAAAATTATGTAATCTTTTTCCCTCCCTTGAAATGAATCAACACTCGCAACCTACAAAAAAACAAACATTATATGTTGTGTTTTAAGCCGACGATTGAATTCACATTTGCATCTAGCAAATTGAATCCATACATTACCTCAATTTCCTTGTACAGTTGCTGTCTAAGAGCACCATTTCTTGACATATAATTCACAATATATGCTCGCTGCCCTTCATATGGTGTTATAACCCCTATCTGTAAATTGTTGAACGGCAGACGAATTGTTACATTATGGAATAAAATTTTATCAACTAAAATAACAGTGAAGATATATAAGTGCACCTGACTAGGAACTACACCACTCCTTAAGAACGTAGTCACAATTTTTTCAACATTTGCAGCCTCGGTCCTATTTAGATAGGAAGTTCCACTTGCACTAATCTCCTCTTGTCCCATCTGTATACAGTATAAACAACTACAAAGATTAAAAAAACGTTTCTGAAGGAGAAAGAAGGACAAGAGAGAGCGAGAGAGAGAGAGAGAGAGAGAGAGAGAGAGAGAAAAAACACAAAACAAAATAAACCCAAGCCTAGTAGACATCAACAAATAAGTAATAAAATTGTTCCTAAAATATCAATTAAATTCTGTATTTATGCAAACTGGTTGAAACAAATAAAATAATAATAATGTCCTGCCAGATACAGATGCACTGCTGCAAAAACAACCATCTGTTAAAATAAAGTAACTAAATTTCTATTATATCGGGCATGCCATCACAGGCTTTGCTTTAGGCAAATAATCATAAATTCTCATAAAAGCAATCAGATTTTAACATAGTGCCCAAGTCCTAACTGTATTAGCACTTGGTTAATACACAACATTAAAATTTATCAGAAACTAATGCAAAAAATTAAAATGGGAATATTATCATACCTGGACATAAAAGAACATGGGACGGTTTGGCACAGGCCAAGGGAAATCAATGCCTGGTGATTGCCTTTCGTTCATGGTCACTCCATTTTGAAGTGTACCTTCATAAAAGCTATTAGAAGGGAATTCTGATAGGCATGGATGCATGCGGTATTGAACCTGGAATTTAAGAGCACAAGACGCAATATATCAGCATTGCCATATTTTCGTACAAGCAATAATGTTAATCTATGAACATGGAGCTTGTAGAAGTACAAGGACAACTGAGAAAGCATGGGAAAAACCATATCACCCAGTTTGTCATCTCAAAAGAGTCTCGATGCATTGAAGTTTGCAAGAAAACAATGAGAAACTTTTAATTGCAGAAACTCCAAAATGCGATTGCATTGATCCAACAAAACTAATAGCAAGTTTGAAATTAATATAAATAAAAATACACAAAAAGTTTACCAAATAGGGTTATACTACTATAAAAATTACAAATACATACTCATTCTAAGGAATAAGAGAGAATCAAGTAGAGAAGAAAAGGCTGAATTGATGAGCCTTGTTTTTCAATCACTTAAGGTTTCATAGAATACCATTGATCATTGTTATTTAAGGCACAAGGCACAGGAAGGTGCGAACAGTTTCAGGAGCCTAAGCGCAAGGCACAGGCCTGAGCGAAGTACAACGTGTTTTGTATACAAAATGCAAGAATGTCATATAATATTGAAATTTTGGAACATTGAAATAATATAATTATTTAATTTTAGAATGTCAAGTATATGATATCATAAATTCAAAGCATTTAGAGAAAAAGAATCAAGAACATATCATATAGAACACATGCATATTATCCAAAATTTCATATATCGGAAATCAACACTAAAATATTAAATATTAAACAATTGAAAATATATCCACAACTCAGTTGACAAAGATAAATATACATTAGAAACTGATATTCCTAAACTAAATTGCCAAACTTGCAGAGTGGACAAAATAAGCATTCAAGCATCGCTCAAGGGGGAAACGCAGCAGTAAGTAAAGGTAAAGCATAGGGAAAAAAAAATAAAGAAAGAAAGAAACAGCAGAATAAAGATGGAAACATAATCGGCATGGCACACATCAAAAATAAAACAAGCAATGGTGATGGACCACAGAAAATTCAACAAAAAACACAATGAGAGAAAAGAAAATACCGACTTTTCTGAGAGTGGCAAGTTTTCAGGGGACATGAAAAATACAGCAGAGAAATTTGCAAATACAAGCCCTAAAAAACAGAGAGGGAACACAGAACAGACGGGAAGGAAAAACAGGCACAAGGAGGAAAAACAGAGAGCGAGTAGGGCTTCCTTCTAGGGAGAAGAAGAAGAAATGCTCGTCACAGAGACAAGGAATGGAAAAAAGAAAAAGGGAAAAAATATTTAAGTTTTAAAAGAGGAAAAAAAGTACACAGAGAAAAACTAGAGCTAATGTTTGTGGAGGAGATGAAAGAAGAGGATGAGGAAGAGGGGGGAGAGAGAGAGAAGCACTTTCCTAAAATCGCCTCGCCTGGACTCCCAACAGGCCAAAACTTGCAAGTTGCACCTTTTTGGGCCTAAGCGCGCTTTTAATAACACTGCCATATTAGTGATTGTGACCTTAATACGGATAGTGTTTGAAGACTTGTCACGTCAACCGTTTAACTAGACCACCAGTGAAAAGGAACATACATGGAGAAAAGAGCCGATTGCATTGGTGACGGGGTTCATCATCGACGATAGTAGTGTTTTGGGATAGAATGTTTGGTGTGTCATTAAATTAGTATTTATTGGGTGGATACTAGTGGGTTAGAATCTGAGACCAAGAAACCTTTATGTAGTTGGATTATTTGTAACCTGGACAGGAGATACAGTGGTTTTTTCCATTGATGGATTTTCCACGTAAAAATTGCGTGCTTGCCCCTCTTCCTCCTTTTACTTTCTAATTTTAAATTATTGTCTGGGGAGCTAACCGAATAATAAATAAATAAATAAAAGGAATTAAATTTGGTATGAAAGAAAACCAGTAGAAAAGACCAACTTACCCCTCTAGGTCCTATAGAGATTCATGACTAACAATATATCCGCTGTGTAATGATCACATTTTCTTCAGGACGCATGACACACGTACATGGTTACGAGGTATGTGTCAGATAAATTTAGTTGGACATACTTATCGAAAAAAAAAATTAGTTGGACATGCAACTAATAAGAATATAACTATTGAAGATTTAATGGAGGAATCATACTACATTATTGCTTCAAAACAAGTGAAATGCTTATGTTGACCACTATGTTATGCACGTGCGCGAACACACAGTATTTTACTCTAGGAAATAAAATAAAAAGACTTAAATAATATAATATTTTGTAGTGTCCACTGTCCATATCCTTTTGGTTGGTGATTTAGTACATTCGATACTTGGACACATAACCCACAACCCGACACACAAACCTGAATTCACACAACATACCAGGCTAGCAAAAATGAGTTGCAAGAATATGATATAAAAACCTTTCACCCCACCCTCCCGCCCAACCCAAACACATAAAACTCTTTTTTTGGACATAAATCACAACACAAATGAAAACATACAAAAGTAGTAAAGAGGACTGTAACCTGGAGTCTAATTGGCTTCACACCAAGTAGTACAAGGCGTTCGAAAAGAGACTGGGCTAGCCCAGCACGAGCTGCTTTCTTGCACATAATGACAGGACCGAGTTGGCAATGGTCCCCAACAAGAACCACCTAAATATAGCAGTTTGTATTAGAAGATGGAGCGGATACTGACAAGGTTGAAATAACATGGACAAAGATGTTTCAACAAATACCTGTTTTGCACCAAGAACCAAAGGAATAAGACACTCAGGCTCAGTTGCTTGAGTAGACTCATCAATAAGTACCTGCAAAGCAACAAAAAAAAGGTAAACCACTCGCAAAAGAATATAATAATTTTATTACTGCCAAATGCTCACATCAGATGTATTTCAACCTGGCGAAATCTAAAATTTGCCAATCGAGGATCACCAGCACCAACACATGTGCAACAAATGACATCAGCACTTTGACATATCTCCCTCTCCGTTGCCCTCTTCAGAGCCTTGTACTTTTTCTCATCACTGCTGGACAATTCTCCTGTAGAAATTTAGAGGAATGAACAATCCATTAACACAAATCCAGGGAATAAGACACAAAATTTCAAATTATACTATGCATCAGCATTCCACCAAAAAACATAAAACCAGTTCAGTAGCATGGCCTTCCAGCATTAATGCACCCAAACAAGCTACCCAAACCAAAGATCAGCAAGCTTTACAATATCAAGTCTCAAAAGGAAAAAGTAAATAAATAAATAAAGCACTAAAAAAAATTAGAAATCCACCTTGCTCATCTTTAAGAAGCTGCAACTTGTGAAGTTCACTCTTTTCAGATGTGTCAAGATGTCGAACCTGAAATAAAAAGATAAGAAGATGCATAACACAAGAACACAGAATCTCTAAAAGCATCAAGTGAGAAAATATTCAATTCAATGAAATTAATAAATACACAAACCTGATAGTGAAGGGTTAAATGCTCAACAGGAGAACTAACAGCTTCCCTTGATTTTGCACATATCCTAACAACCTAGTTTAATAAAATAAAAAAAAACATATACATAAACACAAGTGAGAAATCTCACACGTAATCAATAATAAAAATTATATAACTGTGACAATCACTTAACATAAGAGTTTTATGTACAAAACATCACAAAACATATTTAGCAACAAAATGTTGCTAGATATGGACAAAAAAGAAGAGAGACAGATTTTACTTAACGTTCTTTAAAAGAAAATAATGGGAAACAGCATTATGAACATTTTTTGAGAAGATGACACTTTTAAGTTACAAATGTTTTGAATGGAAAGATAATTGCCATATCGCTATGCCACAATAGCCACAGTAAATAATTCATGTTGATTTATAGTTTAACATAATCAATGTTTTCCATCACATTTAAATATATAGAAATATATGTGTGTGTGTGTATATATAACACTAAAAATTACAAGTTCAAACATTAACATAACACTAATGAAGACATGAAAGGAGCCAAAACAATAAATGGCTCAAGTAAATATTCTGATGAAGAATGAAACTTCATAGAAAACTCCGTATATCACCCTTTTCTGCATAACACTGCAACGCAACTAATGCAATAAAATTTTAGATTGCCATACACAAGGCCACATATCAGTGTTTTTCAGATTCACATTAGTTAAAGTTCTCCATGCCTTGTTGGAGGACCATGTCATTATGAGGCACAATGATATTTTAAAAACTGGACAGCATAAGAGGATGGAAGACCATTACTCTGACTATAGGTAGGTAAAAGAGGGCAGGGGTGATTGTACATCATCAACTAAGCCATCATATCACTCTTACGACAAAACTAAAGCTTATACAACTAAATGATATAATTACCTTTAACCCAGTGGCACTTATCTTTTCAGCTAGTTGGTCAACAGCCACATTACTTGGAGCACAAACCAAAACCTATTTTGACAGGAAAGGAATTATAAAAACAATGACACATGATAAAGTACAAAATGTACGTTCTAGGAGAACATGCTAATGAATTACCTGTCCTTGGCCTTGTTTGGCCATATGATATACAATTGCTGCAGAAGTGACTGTTTTCCCAGTTCCAGGAGGACCTTGAATCAAACTTATTGGCTTCTGAAGGACACTTTTAACAGCAAAAACCTACCAAAGGATCGAGCAAGTTAGGCCTTCAAAAGAACACCACAATATAATATAACGTCTTAAATAACAGAAAGAAATAAAACTTCTGCAAGAATTTTGCAAGAACAAAAGCCAAGCAAAACAATAATTCGCTAAGAATATCTGCAAAGTCATTAAAATATACGAGGCCAAAACTCAATGGATCAGAGAATACCACTCACAAAATGTATGAAGTATGAATACAAGGACACTAGCAAACTGGATAAGAGAGTACCAACAGTTGTCTATGGAGAGCTTTCAATGAAGACATTTGCCCAATGGTTAGGATTTGAGTGCATCCCAGAAGAAGATGGTTGGTTAGAAAGACTGTTTGACGAAGAAGAGGTGGTATTGGCCTTAAAGAGTTGCAATGGAGATGGGCTCCCGGACGGAATGGATTCACCATGGCATTTTTCCAGCAGAATTGGAAGTGGTTATGAAAGAGGTGATGGACACTATTAGCTTCTTTCAAGTGCATGGTCAGTTTGAGAAGAGTATGAACACCTCCTTTATTGCTCTCATCCCCAAAAAGGATGGTGCTAGGATTTTAGGCCTATTAACGTGGTGGTAGAATCTATAAGCTGATAGTCAAAGACAAGTCCTTGCATCTACGCCGCTTTGTATCTGGTGGTGTATTTGGCTTGAGAGAAATAGGAGATATTTTGACGGGAAAAAGAAGCCTATTTCTATGCTTAAGTTCTCTGTTGTTGAGTTTCAGGGAGAGATTTTAGATCTATGGAGGAAATCATTGTTTTCTTGGCCTCTCTGAAGGTCTAAGGCGCCTTTTGGCCCTTTTTGTTTTCTTTGGGCTTCACTCCCCTTTTGAGCGTTTTTAATAAATTCTTACTTATCAAAAATAAAAATAAAAAGACAAGTCCTTGCATTGCGGTTGACAAGAGTAATTGATTGAGTAATCTTGGAGTCTCAAAATGCTAGGCATCAAATTTTGGATTCAGTGTTTATCGTTAGTGAGTGTAAGGATTCCAGAATCAGTATCGGGGTGCCATGGATTCTTTGCAAATTGAATGCTGAGAAGGCCTATGATCATGTGAATAGGAACTTCCTGCTGTATATTTTGGAGAGCATGGGTTTTGGGAAGAAAATGAAGAGTTGGAATCAGTTTTGCATTTCCACGGTGAAATGCACTGTGTTGGTGAATGGATCTCCGACAGGATTCTTAAGTAGTTCACAGGATTCTCCGACCTTTGTCTCCTTTCCTGTTTATTATGGTGATAGAGCCGTTTAGCAGATTGATGAGGAGGGTTGAGGCATTGGGATATATTAGAGGCTTTAAGGTCGGCAGTGTCTCTTCTAGACAGTTGGAGGTGTTCCACCTCCTTTTTATTGAGGTATCATTGTTTTTTTTGTGAGGCTGCTGACTGGTATACTTCGAAGCAGTTTCTGTGTTGAAGATCAATATTGAGAAGAGTGAGACAGTGCCTGTGGGGGACATAGATTGGGTTTCTTCCTTGGCTGACATTCTGGGATGAGGTGTCGTCGTGTCGGGGCCTTCCCAGTGACCAACTTGGGCTTACCTCTTACGGCTTCTACAAGGAGGGTGTTTTCTTCGTCTTCTCTGGAATCCAATCATGGAGCAGTTTATGAGGAGGCTTGCAGGATGGAAGAAGCAATATTTTTCAAAAGGGGGCACCAAACTCTTATTAAGAGTACCATTTTGAAGATTTCGACTTATTTCCTCTCTATTTCAGATTCCTTCCTCAGTTGTGAAGCAGATTGAAAAGCTTCAAAGAAACATTTTGTGGGGTGGCATTGCATATGATTGAAGTTTCACTTGATGAATTGGGAAAGGTGTGCAGCCCTATCCAGCTTGTGGGTTTGAGTGTCAGGAGCATTGATTTGTTCAGTAATGTTGTGTTGGGAAAGGCGCTTTGGCAGTTTGAAGTGACAAGGGATATGTTATGGAAGGAGTAGGTATAGGGTGAGCCAGGTATACCACATCATTCGTACGTCCGGCCAATGAAAATCTAGCAAATCTAATTGTGGAGCAGTTTTTTATAAAATGGCAGGACCCATTTCATGGTATGGTGAAAGTATGGTGAATTTTCATTGACCAGGCATACCAATGACATGGCATGCCAAGCTAACCCAATATCTTCTCTTATGGAAGAGGGTGATTAAGTGTAAGCTTAGGAAGCTTAGCGGAGGATGGACTTCTAAGAAGGTGAGGTCTCCAACAGGAGTAGGAATTTGGATATTCGTTTGGAAAGTTTGGAATGAATTTTCAAAGCATATTTGTTTCCGGGCTATGCGCGCAAGAAAAAATCATTTTTTAGAGGATCCTTGGTGTGGGGATAGACCTCTTGCATGCACTTTCCCGAGGTTGCTTACATTTGCAGCTGTTAAGTAGATTTCAACTGATGACTGCTATCACCTTCATAATAAGAAAGTGACTTGGGGTGTGCAGTTTGAGCAGCATTTACAGGATTGGGAGTTGGAGGAGACTGTATAGTTTTTGGCTCTGCTATATCCTCAGCTTGTGGAAGGGGAGGGCTGGATGAGTGGTATTGGGTGGGTTCCAGTCATGGGGAATCTGAGGTGACATCTTTCCATCGGAGACTTATGGAGACTCGGGTCCCCTCTTTCCCTTGGAAGGCAACACCTTCTTTGGGTGAACAATAGCTTTAGAGAGGATTTTGACACTTGACAACCTAAGAAAGAGACAATTGATAACAGTGAACTGGTGTTATACGTGTAAGAGGGATGAGGAATTGGCTATGTATCCATGCATCGAATGTGTTATATCCTCAAACAGAAGGGGACATGGACACCATTAAATATTATTTTTACTTAATATTTTTATTTTATTTTTAGAGAAATAATGCCGTTATGTAATATTGTGTTCAATATAGGCATTTCACTCATTTTGAAGTAATAACATAATAAATATAAAAAAATTTCATAAGTAAAAATAATATTAAAAAAGGCGTTCAAAAGGAGAACGTGTCCCAATTACAAAAGTGGAACCGGAGCTAAGGCCCCAAAGAATCCAGAAAAGTAATTAAATCATATGAAGAAGAACAAAAGCTCCTCTTCACATAATTGAAGAGAGAACGAAGAATGTAAAGTTTGTCCGTTAATAACATAATAAAATTGAATTGTAGGATATGTTTTTAAAGTGCATATCCAACCAAAAGTGTGAGACACATATCCCATACACATGTCCGAATATTTTTTGTCTGACATGGGTACTTCACCTTCTTTTGAAGAGTCCATGTAACATAGGGAATCGGTGAATCATCACCTTTTGCTTTGCACTGTCACTAGAGAAGTGTGATCTAAGTTCTTTGCTATTCTACCTTTAGCTTTGTACCGTGGCTATAGAAGCGTGATCTATATTCTTTTACTATTTTTGGTACTTCTTGGTTGTGCCGGATTTCACGTGGAGCATGCTTGAGGCATGAAGAGGTTGAATAGTGGGTAATCAAGTTCGAGATGCTAGGAGAGAGAACCCCCTTTATTTGTGGTGGGGCTTGGGGCGGGCTACGTTACATGGACTCGGGTACGGGTGTCATCCACAGGTAACCTCCAAACAGAAGGACACATGGACACTGCTAAATATTCATTTTATTATTTATTTTATTTTATTTTCTAGAGTAAAGTAATGTTTTTATCTAATATAATGTTCAATATAGACATTTAACTCATTTTAAAGTAATAATATTTTTTTTGATAAATAATAAATTCATTAAAAGCGTTCAAAAGGGGAACGCATCCCTGAGAACAACAGAACCATGGGCTCTAAGGCACCAAAGAAGCAATAAACTCAAGCATCTCCTCAGCAAAGCAACAAAATCTACCCGATCCCCAAAAGAAAAGGTAGTCTAACATAGAAGACTTAAGAACGGCCACAGAGGACTCCTGTCCTTCAAACGCCCTACTATTACGCTCCCTCCACAGACACCACCAAAGACACAAAGGTGCCATCCTCCAATAACCTCGAGCGTGGATGCCCACTTGCACCCCCCTCCAACTCTCCATTAGCTCTCTCATAGATCTAGGCATGACCCACAAGACTCCGAACAAAACCAGCAGGAAACTCCAACATTCCATGGCCACGGGGCAGTGCAAAAGGAGATGATCCACCGATTCACCATTATGTTTACACATGTAACACCGATTGATGATAATGAGCTTTCTCCTTGTATTGTCCAGCGTCAAAATCTTTCCCCACACCACAGTCCACGTAAAGAAAGCCACTTTAAGCGGCACTTTAGATCTCCACACAGCCTTCCAAGGAAACCTCCCCTTTGGTAATAATATAATTAGATATTATACTCGTGTAATTGAATAATTAGATAATTTTAAAGTAATAATATAATGTAATTGAATGATTAGATATGCTTTTTAAGTACATGTCCAACCAAAAGTGTAGGACACATCCCATACCCATGTCTGAGGGATACGTGTCAGACACGGGTACTTCACTACTTTTGAAGAGTCCATGTAACAAAGGGGGAGGGAGAGGAATACGAGATCCTTTGATGAGGACGACGCTCCTATTTGGGTGCTAAGACACTCCACCTTCAATTCTCTGTTTTTTTGGGTCAAAGGGTGGCATTGTAAATCTATGGAAGACTTTGTAGATAACTTGAAAGTTTAGCAATTTTGTTGGATTTTGTGAATATATGGGCATGCACCCCTTTTGAGTGTTTTTTATTGAAATCTTACTTGTAAAATAAAAGGTAATAATGACAGTAAACAAATAAACTAAATATGGTTAGAATATGTTAAAGTAACATTACATTATTCAGATTCAGGGAAAAAAAAATTTCATTATTCAGAACTTCAACCAAAGTAAAGCAGGGAAAGAGAAGAATAATTATTAAAATAATAACCAAATATAAAAGAATGAACTTTCTATTCATTTAGTGTTATTCAATGACTTTCACAATAGATCTGTTGTGGTATCTAGTACTTAGGAAATACCTTTAGATCAGTTAATATTGAGGAAATACTAACCTGTTATCTAAATTAACCATGAACAATTAAGATTTTTTGGCACTTGCGGAATGAAAGTTAAATTGCCTTGTTCTGAGACTACTTAGCACATGCATTAGTAAATATCAATGTCATCACTTGATGCTTGATTGTGAAGTCAACACTTAATTAATTGTTTCCTTATTCTACTGGTACTGACTTGAAAAACAATTTTATCAAGTTGAAGTTTAATCATTATTTTTCACCATCTTCATCTTGAATGCGTCCCCAAGTTACCATGAAAAAAGTGCCTAATGAAACACAAAACATGTAACAAACACTTCACATAAGCAACTGCCCAGCCCTCATGCTACAGCAAGAAGATTCCGCAGCTTCACCAGAATACACATTGAAGTTTAAAATATCTAATATTTTCGTTTGTAGAACATTCGATCACACCATAAGTTGCAAAGAAAAAAACCAATACCCCAAAACTAAGATGGTGGCCACATCAGCTAGCATGGGTTTATAGTGTAGGCTGATCGTTTGTACTGCAGTACTGGACAACTATAATTAAAAATATTTTTTTAGCAATCACCCTCACACTCTTGCTCTATGGACTTGTGAAGCTTCAAACATTTTTGTAATTTCTAGCTCCAGAATATTAGTGTAGATATTCCTTGCACCTCAAAATAAAGTAGTGTGGGAAGAAGAGATAAAAGGGCATCATTAGCTAAACAATCATTTGGTTATGCCATTTACCACATAATTGACACAAAAATAAAATATCCAGGATAACTAAAGCAAAATATTCAAATAATATAACTTGGCTACAAAATGCAGACAGCCTACTTGAGATGCATTGAGCTCCGGAAGACCTGGTGCACCAAAACGACGAGGCAGTGTATTGCGAACCATCTGAACCTCAACCTCGTGGCCTAATAAGTGATGGTAAATGTAGCTGCATAAAAGAGGACATTTCAACAAACTCATGGTAAATCATTCAGGTGCAAAGTAAATATAATCAAATAATAATAAGTTACCAAGAAGCTAAGGTACAAAATGGGCTAGCCTGCTTGCTAAATATATCCAAGCAGGCTTAACTACGTCTACTTTAAGTTGAATGACCTCAATCAGATTTCGGGCCAAATATGCCTTCACGCCAGCATTCTGCCCAAGAGGCTCAGTCCTAAGTAGATTTTGTATTGTATTAAAATATATAATACATATACAAATACACATGCTCTGCTTTCTAGTTACATATTTAAGGTTAACTCAGTTGGTACAGACTACAAAGTTCTCCAGGGATAACAGGATTTCATTTCAAATACACTGTTTTTGGCTAATCTTTTCCATTTCACTCTAAATACGTAAATTAAAAATTTTCCTTTCAACGCAGGCCAAACAGATCATCAGCCAACTACAGACGAATATAAAACATTAACCTTCTTTTGGGTGGATAGCGGAAGCCCAAATGGGAGTTCAAAAGTTCAATTTGAACTTGGTCAAATCCAACTCAAGAAAGCTTGAATATTGATAAGGATAACTTATCAATTTAAAATCAACTTTTTACCCAACCAGTTGTAACAACAACATTAAAAATTGCATTCCAAACACCTAAATCTAGTACCAACAGCAAACCGTTAAATAGCTTTGCTTTTAATTTAAGGTGATCATTATTTAGTCTACTTCTGTGTATATGTGTTACTGGCTATTTACATTTTAATTCCTTCTTTTCAAAGTCTACTATGAGTCTATGATTTAAGAAGCATGAGTGATGGCAAAAATTGTGTGAGGGAGTTTGGGGAGGAGCTCCCCCAGATAAAATAATCTAGGAAATCCTCTCTACTTGTTGAAAAGGAAATTTTAGCAACTATTTAATGACATAAACAAGAAACTCTTTACTTGTCAAAAACAAATTCAAAGAAATACTTCTTAATGACAAACAAATGCAATAATTAGGAAGAAATAGTCAACCCACCCACTAACACTCGTCTCATCGACTGCAAATGTTTTCATTGCCCCCTGCATCCGGTCAAAACTTGTGCTCTTCCACACAAAATCAACACTAAAACCATGGTTCACATCAACAGGTACTCCCTGAAAAAAGGAATAAATGAAAATGAGGACCATTGAGAGCTGAAACTCACAGGGGACTAAGGGTAACAAAAAATAAAAAATCATAACCGGAACTACCTGACTAGCACGAAGCTCGAGTGCAACCTCCTCTTGGGCAGTTAGCTTTATCTGAAACAAACAATTAATTAATTAAAAGATCATAACGAACTACAACTCAAGCTGAGTGAATGAAAAAGTTGCAAGTCAAGAAAAGAGAGCCTACCACATGTCCCACCGACTGCCAAGCCGAATGAGCTGCATCTCCTGAATAACGTAGCCGCAACTCATCACCAGGTACGAGACGCAACTCATTATCTTCCTACAACAACAGCACGTGTATTTAACACAGCAAACATTTATAACATAAACTTACGGGCAAATTAACGTTAGGCAATGACGTAAAGAAAACAACACGAACAATAGAAAAGCACCTTTGGGAAAACAAAATATGCAACACGCTTTTTGTTGAGACCAATATCCCACCGTAATGTGACATTGTCTTTGCTTTGAGATTCTTTCATCATCTAGGAAGGGAAAAAAAAAAACAGATTTAAGTTATGGTGCACAATATTTTCATTGGTGCAAAACTATAGGAACTTTAATTAAGCTAATATTGGATAGTAATAGTATCAACATGGTTGGTTCAAGAGGAAAATGACAACTATTAAAATTGAAACAATGTGTATCACAAGATTAAAATTTCCATTCAACACTGAGAAATAGAAAGAAAAAGACAAAGAACAACAAATAAAAAACAAAATAGTTGTGATGCATACTTTATCATAGTCAGCTTCAAGCTTGATAAGTGGCGCGAATACATTTTGATACTGCAATAGGATATAGAGCAGCACAAGCTAATCAGTCAATATTGCCATTATGGAAATACTATAACTTCCACCACAACATTCTCATGTTGCATGTACTATCTACACAACTTCATAGCTATGGCTTAGTGTTGCGAATGACACCTGATATGCATCTTCATACTTCAGAGCTACAGGCTGAGGTTCATCATCCACACCAGGTTTCTCAAGATCTTCCAGGGTAGCATCAGGGTTGGTTTTCCAAAGTTCTTCTACCTTATTTATCTGTTGAGCACTGATTTGGCGTGCCCTTAACTGCTCCTGTTCAGATGGGACCTGCAAGTGCAAGGAGATAGCGACTTAGATAGAGTATATATCACCTAGACATTAAATATGAAAAACTGTAGAAGTCATTAACCTTAACAAGCCACTGCAAAAAACATCTATCATCAATAAGTGGACACCATTGACTGAGGTCCCAATTCATGTCCTTCAAAGCATTGACACTAAGACAAGGTTCCCTGCAAAGAAGAACGACGACGCTTTCTGTCTTGGCAGATATGAATCCAAGGAGGAACACATTCCGGCATCCACAATTGTAACATTCAAGTATCGTTTCTCCCAGGGGACTGTCTTTATGAAGACAAACTTCTTTATGCTTAGCTCGAACCTACAAAAGACATCACTGAACGTACTGATTCTAAAGTTCAGAGAGTGCAATCTTTTATCCTCTTGCAAATTAGTACGCATTTATTATGCCAATACAACGACTTGCTAAGACTACTAAGCAACAAAAACGTACACCAGGGCATTAACCAATTAGTCAATTACAGCCACAAAACTTAAGTATCATGTGTAGATAAATAATTTTAAACAGTGACATGACATGCAAATAATCACTCAAGGAGAAAATGCAATGGCCAACAACCAAATGAGAAGAGTATAACCCAACATACAGAAGCTCCAAACTACATATAAATTATAATTGAGAAGAATTAAGATCACTTTGAACCCACACTATAAATTATTAAAATTAATACTCTTCTATAATTAACATTCAAATAAACGACTTCCCAAACACAATTACTTCTTCCAAACAACTCCAAAGAATTAACCATGTAACAAAAAATTGATACTAAATAATGCAAAAGAGACCGCCATCAATTTCAATCTAGAAGAACTGTCTTCAAAGTCTACATTTGTGATGCACGGGTTCTAATTCTAAGGACCTTTTCTAGAAAATAAAAAGATAAAGCTATAACCATGATGAAGTAAATAGCTAACTCTGGATGCTGTCTCAAAACATGCCAAGTCATGAGCAAACAAACCCAAATAGTCCAAAAACAGATTCTTCACAATATTCAGATATTTATATGGGCTGCCATCTCACCAATCCACATAAACATCCTCATTTTTACACACCTCTAGTAATCCTAGGGATGGATTTTGCTTGACATACCGTGTTAAATGTAACCTGTGAAAATTTCTTACATATTTTAAAAGAAGAGTTTCAGTCTGCCAAATCTCTATATAAAGGAATATCTTCCATCTACACAGATTCACCAGTCAACATGATGTCGTACATAGGAAAACCCTTGATCCCGTGTATTTCGAATGATTTTCTCATAATAAAAGGGTCCTTACCCAATATGGTTCGTATTGATCGAGGGTGCTAGGAGGGTTGGGCAAGAAAAAGACTTAACCTTTGGCAGTATTGCAGAACATGACTGCTCTCAACATTCAAAACACATTCTCATGCTTGAACGCCCAAGCATTTTACTATTGCACCAAATAATGGTCCCTCAATTAGGCGCATTAATGAAAACCACTTCACAAGAAGCCCACACCATGGGTTCTAGGGAGAAATTGTAGATCTATGAAGGATATTGTTGATATTTTGGGCTCTTTTGAGTGTTTAAAGGCCCCATTTGGCCTTGTATTTCTTTATGCGATGCGTCCCCCTCTTGGGGGCTTTAATAAAATCTTAATTACCACAAAAAACAAAGAAGCCCACACATTGGCGGGTAACAGCAAGCCAACAAAAAAAAATTTGCATGCTTTTATTTTGACTTCCTACAGGCTTTAAACTGCTTCCTCTTTGAACTAAATCTTCTGCAAATTAACATTAGAAAAGAGTGGTATTCCTTGAAGAAAACATTTTATAACTTTGTGTATTTTTATAGATAGCCCAATTGAGATATATATATAGAGAGAGAGAGAGAGAGTTCATGTGGCTGACCCAATTCATATGGGATAAAGGCAAGAATAATAATGATGATGACAGTGATATATATAAATTACATAGAGAGAGGGAGAGAGACCATTACTCATTATTGCTCTACCTAACCTTCAGTTGAGTGATGAATTAATTGTCAAAATCCTGAATTCAAATAATCAAAATCAACCAGAAAGGAGCAATAGTTCCCTTAATTTAATTAACATCCCTTGCAGCGAAGGGAAATGCTTCTAATTCCTATGGCTGCATCATTCTGCAATTTTTCTACTTATTTCGGGCAATGCTTCACAACAATAATCCAAACTATTTAAATTATTGGATTCAGCGTTTATCTATATCCACGTCATGGATATGCTTCCTATGTAAAAGAGCCTCCATCTGCTGGCTCAATACCCACCATGATATATAGTAAGTTGTAATCTATTAGTTAATGAAGTGTAAAAGGCATTTTATACTATATCGTTTCCCTTTGTGCCTTTGTGAGATCATATCCGAACAATTACGGGGACAAAATGTGGTTTCAAAAACAGCATAAGAAATCCACAAGAATTGAAAGAATTTTGAAACCCAACAGAACTCCTATAATATGATTATTTCTTTATATCTTGTCTATGGAGTCTTTTTCCAACATTCAACACTATAAATTCCAACCGATGCCCATAAGACAACTCAAAATCACGAATCCTAAAGTTGAACTTCAAATTCTTACCACTTGCATAAAGATTATCTTCTACTTTTAACCCCAAGACCAAAAGCACTCAAAAAAGTAAAGAAACAATGTTGTAACAAGATGAACAGTTGGTCACCCATAATTCCAATGCATTCCTTCAATCTGATTCAATAATACACAGTATGCAACTAAAAGGAATGCATAGACCAAAATAATGAAAGAAAACCCACTTCAATTAATTGATAAGAGATCACTATGGAAGTTCCCACTCACCAGGTGATTAACAATATGCGACCCGGACGTGTTCCCCCTTGAATTGCAGAACCACTTGCGACAAGACGGTACGTTACACCTCACAACACACGCCGGGTTCTGCACTCCACAGTACCGACACGCATGCTCCGTAAAATCACCCTTGCCATACTCGTAACTCTCATCATCCCCAGTCTCTTCAAAGTTCAGTCCACTCATACCGGCCGCAAGCGCATCCACAGCCGACTGGTTGCCCCCACCACCCCTGCCCTTCCCAGCGCTCCCGGGGGCTGTGGAAACAGGCGAAGCGTCAGAATGATGATCAGACGAGGCTCTATCGGCTCGGTCAGCAGGGTCCGCTATGGAATCGGAAGGCGTTGGCCAAACTGAGGATCGAATTGGCTGAGAAAGCTCTTGAAATTCAGGGTAATCGAACTCTTCTCCTTGAGTGTTGAATTCGAGGAAAGTGTAGGCGTCGTTGCCGGTGTCCGGCTGCGACGCCGTCTCGTAGAGGTTGTTCGGCTGAGAATCCATCGGAAAATATCAAAGCAGAAAGAGCGTGTATATCGTCAAATTAGGGTTAGGGTTTGAGAATTGGCGATGGATAGGTTTGAGTTTGGGAGTGGAAAGAGAGGGTAATGTTAGGGTTAGGGTTAGGGTTAGGGTTTGGGAGACGAATAAATGAGAGAGGGGTTTGGGAGACGAAGAGTGTTGTTGTCAACAGAGAATGGGACGGGGGAGTAAAATTGGCGATGTGAAGGAGACGTCATGAAGAAGGAGAGGTCACGTGCCGTGCGCGTGAGACTTTTGTGTTGATCGGCTGGTTCCCTTGGTGTTGGCGCCCGAGAGAGCATCAGATTCCGACCTAACAATGATCTACATGGAAAGGGCTTGTTTGTTGTAAAAGTGAATAGCAAAAAATAAAAATTTGGTAAAAATTGTTTTGTTTGGCATATTAATACGTTTTGTAAATAGTGCTTAAAAATCGAAATATGAATTTAATATTTATACATGTTTCAACACTGAAAGAAAGATAATGTAGTAAAAAATAATTTGAAAAATTATTAAAGTAACCATTATACCGGTCACACTTATAATATTTTTTTACCACACATATTTTTATATTTTTGTTTTTAAAAATTTGCAACAAATAAATATTATCAGACATACATTTGATTACTATTCAAAATATTTAGTTTTATTTCGAATTAAAACAAAATTGTAAAAATAATACACGTGCCAAAGAGGTCCAAAAGGGAGTCACAACTTGATCTGTTACGCCACTTTTCTTAGGAGCAATAGATAATTGAGAGGGAAAATGGATAAAGTATTAGATTGTTTTTTTATGGGTAAAAAATTCACACATGATACATTCTTTTGTTTTTAAGGAGATATAAAATTCACACTGAAATGCAATTTTAATAAATTTATCAGATAATTTTTGTAATAATGTAGTCACTCAATCAGATGGTATGATAATGTCTATTTTAGACTTGAGCCCGCACAAATTTGCTCTTGAGTTTTTATTACAAATTGTCTCATATCAATTAGAGTGTACAAATCCTACATGTATAACATTTTTCCTTTCCACACTCAAACAGTGTGGAATTATGCACCCGTAACTCACCCATCCGCTCATTAGACCTCCACAATTTTGGACCAAAAATACCTTGGTGATAAAATTCAATCAAAACTCATACTTAAGTTTTCTTATTACATTTTTGGGACCATTTTTCTTAATAGAAGAGTTTTGATTGACATCTAATAATTTATCCAGGGGAAAATTTTCTAAAAATTGAGGAAATTATCTCCATCCATACAAGATCTCAAAGAGATAATGGCTAGATTTAGAAATTTAGGCATCCAAGATGTAGTGAGAGAGTGGCTAGATTCAAGTCTTAACTTTTCCCATTAATTTTGTCCAAATAATTTTCTAAAACTTGAGTTACATTTAACAAGCATAGCTTTCAACATTGTCCAAGCTAATGATTGTCCATTGTTTTGGAAAATTCCAAAATGAACATTAAGTATATGGTACAACAAATGTTTCGAATCGAACAACAATTATGAAACATGATATAAAAATAAACACATCACACAAAGCGTACAAAAATTTATGCGTAGTTAGGTAAAGTCACATCTGCAGAGTAAAGATCCAGCAAATCAAAGATCACAAGTTTTAGTCCTTCACCCACTCTTTATACTATTTTCAGATTTTCGGTGCCTCTTCATGTCAACCCATAAATAAAAATGGTTCAAAAAATTTCCTAATCCCTAATTGGTAAGAAGATTTTTTTTGTAGTAATTCCTAATTAGCTTGCTTTATAAATTGGCTCTGTTGTTGAAGAGGACAATTTTTTATACTAATTCCTAATTGTCTTTTTTACTTTGTCCTCTTTGTAAATTGTTGTTATTGAAGGTATATTCACAAATTTTAAGGTTAGAATTTCAAATATTTATTTAATTAAATAGTCTAACTAAATAAGTAATTTATTTTTTTAATAATCTATTTGTTTCTCTAATTTGATTTCCTTTCCTGTAATTTACCTTTCATAACATTTCTCTAACGACTACTATATTATTCACTAAATAAGTAAAATTATAAGTAATTTACTAAATAATTTATTTTATTTTTTTGGGAAAATTATAATTTATTTTAGTAGGTTTCACTACATTATTATAATGAATTCTTTTTCTCGTCTATTTTCCAGCTATATAAACTACTAATAGACTTCCTCGCTATATTAAGTTTATTAACTACTAAAGTCCTAACAAGCCTATATGAACTAAACACTGTTCATTAATTTAAATTTACATATTTATGTAACTAAAAAAATTGGCTTCTCTCCGATTCCTATTGTTTTACTCTACAACGGGATATATATATATATATATATATAACCAAAAAAGAGAAATGAAATAAAACCATCATACTGTGTGTGGATTTTACATCTTGGATCATAACTAAATAAGTAATTTGTTTTTAGTAATATATTAAATAATTAAAACATGAACTCTATAAATTAAGAAGTATAACTGAAAAAGTAAAAATTTTTTTAAAAAAGTGATCTATTTCTTTCTCTAATTTCTATTGCTTTACCTTCTGGGTAAAAAAAAAAAAAAAAAATCATATGTTATATAAACTACTAATACACTTCCTTACTATTTTAAATATTAAAGTCTTAACTATTATACATAAACTAAATACTGCTAATTAATTTATGTCTATATATTTATATAACTAAAAATATTTACTTAGTCATATTTAGGTTTTTAAAATCTTTCTTCTATTCTATTGATTTTTATTTTTCTCCTTCTTATTTTTTCCCCCGTGGAATGCTATAGAATAGGTTAAGTCCAATTTAACGTTTTAATTAAATTTTGTTCTATTTATATATTTAATTCTTTTTCTATTCTATTTTGAGTTTCTATTTATATTGGACAATTATAGGCACAGTTGTTGGACGATGAGACAGAGTCCATTCGGGTACGGATGTTAATGAACACTTTGAACAAGTTAATGTTACATCTGCTCACCCTTATTCAAATGCATATGTTCCATTGTGGAATGAAAGCTCAAGCCCTTATCAAGCTAAAAAATTTCAAAGGAAATACATTCCACCTCATAAAAGAAATGGGGGTTCTCAAGGATTTGTTTCTTCTTCTTTCCATTATCAAAGAATGAATGACCTCTCACATCCTCAAATGTATGATTCTCAAGTTGGCTTTTATTCCTCTTATGCACTTTCTAGTAATTCTACTTTTGAAGACAAGGTTTTGGTGGCTTTGGGTAGTTTAGAAAGGAACACCAATTTGTTGCATTCCCATTCACAATCTATATCAAAGCTTGAATCCCAAATTGGGATCATAGCTAATGCATTGAATGCAAGAGAAGTTAGTAAATTACCTAGTCAACCCGAGAGGAATTTAAAAGCCCAATTTTGTGTGGAAGCAAACCCTAAATTGGGGTGTTCTTCCCAAGCTCAAGTGTAAGCCATCACCACTTTGAGAAGTGGTAAACAAGTGGATAATAGGGTTGAACTACCAAAGGAAGATAGTGAACTGATGCAACCAAAAGTTGTTACCCATTCAATTCCCGATTCTATTCCTACTTCCTTAAATGAAAAGGTTCCTAACGAGAACTCTCAATCTTCTCCGTCATCCTCTCAAATTGCAAAGTCTTGCGGGTCAAAAGCTCCATTCCTTTATGCTTTAAAAAAAACTTCGCCTTATGGGAGGCAAGAAGGGAAAATACATGACCTGATGGAAGTTTTTAAGCAAGTCAACATAAACCTTCCTCTTTTGGATGCCATTAAGCAAATTCCACCTTATGCAAAATTTCCAAAAGATCTTTGCACACAAAAGAGGAAAAGCAAGGGACCAAGCCCTAAAAAAGTGTTCTTCACGGAGCAAGTGAGCTCCATTCTTCAACAAAACATTCCACTTAAGTTCAAAGATCCCGGTGCTCCGACTATTTCTTGTGTAATTGGAAACCATGAAATTCGTAGAGCTCTTATTGACTTAGGTGTAAGTGTCAATTTGATTCCTTACTCCGTATATGTCCAATTAGGGTTGAATGAGTTGAAGCCAACCTCGGTGGTGCTTCAAATGGCCAATAGATCCGTCAAAACACCTAGGGGCATGGTTGAGGACATCCTCGTCAAAGTGGATAAATTCTACTTTTCGGTTGATTTTGTAGTTCTTGATACCGAACCGGTTGTTAATCCCACCAACCACATCCCAATCATCTTGGGAAGACCATTCCTTGCCACTGCAAATGCAACAATTAATTGTAGATCCGGAATTATGGACCTTTCTTTTGGCAATATGATGGTCAAACTTAATGTTTTCCATGCAAGTCGACATCCCATAGATGAAGATGAGTGTTGCCTTATTGATGTGTTAGATGAGGTTGTTGAAGAATCAATTCCAACGATGGTAATGAAACAACCAATTGAGGATAACCTTTCATCTCTTCTTTCCAATGACCCTCTTGCTTCTTGTCTCCTTGAAATTTATGGAAATTGTGAGTTTAATGATGAAAAATCAATGGATGAAGTAAGCACTCTCATGGAATCTGTTGCAAGCTTGGATTTTCCATCTTGGAAAACTCCAATAGAAACTTTTCCGCCACTATCTAGCACTCCACCGGTTTCATCTTTGGTTTCCCCACCAACTCTTGAGCTTAAAACCCTACCTTCCAACCTCAAGTATGCATTCTTAGGACCAAAAGAGACTCTTCCGGTTACCATTTGTTCAAGTCTTGAAAAAGACTAAGAAGATGCTCTCTTAAGTGTGCTTAAAGAAAATAAGGAAGCCATAGGATGGAGTGTGGCGGATCTTAAGGGGATTGACCCTTCTATTTGTATGCATCGCATACTTATGGAAGAGGATGCAAAGCCCTTTAGGGATGCCCAAAGGAGACTTAATCAAAACATGAAGGAGGTGATTAAGAAGGAAGTAGTCAAGTTTTTAGATGCAGGGATCATTTATCCAATCTCCGATAACAAATGGGTGAGTCCTACCCAAGTAGTACCCAAGAAATCGGGGATTACAGTGGTTGAAAATGCAAAGGGTGAGGAAATCTCTAAGCGTACCGCCAATTCATGGCATGTATGTATTGATTACCGCAAATTAAATGCCGCCACTAGAAAATATCACTTCCCTTTGTCATTCATTGATCAAATTCTAGAGAGATTGGCGGGGCAATAATATTATTGCTTCATTGATGGCTATTCGGGCTACAATCAAGTAGCCCTCGACCCATTAGACCAAGAGAAAACCACCTTTACATGTCCATTCGTCACATTTGCTTATAGACGGATGCCTTTTGG